TAGAGATGCCTAGGAAGTAGGAAGCCGGGGAAGAAGAGAACGCCCGGGAGGAAGAAGAAGAGAACGCCCGGGAGGAAGAGTCGAAGATACCCGAGAAGAAGAAGACACCCGAGAAGAAGAAGACAGAGAGAGAGAGAGAGATAGAGATATATACGCGTATATAAAAATTGAGATTAGTACGCATTCCGTACTACCAACGGGCAGGCCCGTAGGACATATTATTAATGTTTGATATACTAACGAAATCGATGTATGCGAAAGTAACGTTCCAGAGAGTTGTGGCCTAAGGCAGAGGTGCACTATGACTATAATTTTAGTGTACTATAACTATAATGGCCGATACAACTTCTAGAACATTTTATCTTCTTAGTTCAATAATTATGTAACAGTAATAATATATATAGACATAGCCTTAGGAGGGCAATTATATGCGGCGGGAGCGGAAATTCTAAATGGCGGGAGGCCAAATTTGCCTAAGGCAGAATACACGTACCGACGCAATATTCCTTGCTTACATTCCTTCGCTACCTCCTACTATTACCTCCCTACCTACTAGACTTTCGAGAGAACTGAGACAAGCCAAGGTCCCTAGGCATTCAAGAGATAGAAATAGAGATAGAGATAGAGATAGAGATAGAGATAGAGATAGAGATAGAGGTAGAGATAGAGATGGAGATGGAGATGGAGATAAAGATAGAGATAGTAACACCGCGCGATAGGTACGGCGCAATAGGTACGGCGCGATATAGACACGGCGATGGATATAGCGATAATAGACACGGCGATGGATATAGCGATAGATACTGCGCGATGGACCGTACGATATAAACACCGTACGATATAGACACCGTGCGATATGGTGCGATATAGACACGCGTGCCTTAGGCAAACTTGACCTCCCGCCATTTAGAATTTTTGCTCCCGCCGCATATAATTCCCCCCTTAGGATAGCAAAATATTAGAGTAACTACAATATATACGCGATCGCTAGTCTCTATATATAATGGTTCTATAAGCGTAAGGGTATATATAATAACCCTTTCTTCCTAGAGGCAGGTCTCTACTATATATACAAGCTATATTGTTACCTGGTCCTCGCTACCGGTACCGTAACCTTAGGTAGGACCTCCCCGACCGACAAGGCATCCCCTTTGTAGCCGATTACTAGAGGATTGCTAAGTCTTTATCCTTACTACGGCGCATCCTACCTACTATCCTCCTCGGGCTTGTTTAAGAACTAGTTAATAGTTGCTTCGAGTTTACTATCTATCGGCTCTACGACTACTATAATAGCGTTGAGGCCGCTTATAAACACTCTATAGTAAGATACTTAGTCGTTACTATATTCAATACGCTTGTTATCTACAAATAAGCTAACTATACTACGCGGTAGCACTATTGTATTATATTATAGAGTAGAGAGTAGAGAGTATAAATAGAGGTAAGTATTGAAAAAGAGGCAGAGATTTTTCTAGGTAAACCTAACTTGTTACTTAATATATAGAGGTTACGTAATATTCCAAAGGTACGTAGCATTTAATGTGTACGTATGTAACTAATGTAACCCTAATATAGAATACTCTAGAAACTTCTAGAGATAATTATATAATACTTCTGAGAATTTTTAGAGACAGCTAGAGAGTACTTTCTAGAGTCTATTAACTACTTTAGAACAAGGTCTAGAAGGTTATAGAAGGTAATACAATACTCAGTTTATAATTAAGGTTCTACTGAATTCTTATCATTTTTATACTAAGCTATATGCTACTTATTATATAGTTGCTAGTATAAGTAGGCCTAAACAAAGAACAAGAAAGTCTTAGATAAGATACAATCTTAGACCAAGTTCACCTTGAATAGCGACAGCCGTATTAACGGCCTTAGCGTACTAATGCTTATATAGTTAAAATACTATAATATCCAATAGCTATATAATATAGGTAGAGTAGGCCGGTAGAGCGATCGGAATAATAAGATACCTATTATAGAATTTAATAAACTCCTTTATATAGTAATTAGTATATCCATCTATCAAAAGTACTCTCTTAGCCCTAACTATACCTATACGACTATGTTTCTTAAAGTGCTTAAGCTACTCTAAGCATATAAGATCGTTTATATACCCCGAGTCGCTTACTCTAACTATAGTATACTACGTAGCTATATACAGTTTGCCCTATAAGATAAGTATAGAAGGTACCGTAGCGCCGGCCGCTAAAATGGCTTCTATATACGTAAGACTCTTACGATTGTTTGCAGCCGGTAGGAAGTTTCGACGCCACGGATATTACATAAGTACCGTCTATCTACTAGCAATACTAATCGGGAAGCCAGTCTCGTCTATATTCTACAGATTCGATATAGTAATACTATTCTTAATATATATATATAGCGGAACTTAGTAAACTACTACTTAATATCGCTAATATTGTACGTAGCCGAACGTAAAGCGTCAAACGGTATAGTCCTTCTCTTAAACTATTCCGGGTAACGTACGAGCTAGCGTAATGCCTATATAGTACTTACTATAGGCGGCGGTTCGGTACTAACGTAAGTTCGTACGAGAATCGAATTAGCCGACACTATAAGCGACCGTATACGTATACTAACTCTATTCTTATTGTAGCGTTCGAGATATCGAATCGGAGCCCCCTCCTATATATTATTAAGCTTGCGATTCGTCGCTATATACGTATATTTACTCGAACCGTTAATAGTAAATATTGAACGATTTAGCAATCTCTAATATTACTAGATATACTATAGTATTAGCTATCTATCCTATAGCCTCTGCAATACGATCTTCTTCCTCTATATAGGCTACTATATTAATTAACTATAGGAAATATAAAAAAACACGTATTAAGTAGGTTAGGGTAGTAGGGTAACTTAGTTTATCGTTAAGGCGTAATGCTTATTAAGCCGTATACTACCGCGCACTAGGCAACACGGATATAGAGTAAATAGTTAGATATAGCGAATTGTAGATAGCGGTTCTGTAATAAAGAGATATATAGTGTTTTTCTAATATGTAAAATAGTAGCCTTAAGCTAAAGCGCTCTCGGTCTCTATAGAGCCTTTAAGCAATTCTATAGTCCAATTTACTATAAAAGCTTAGTTGTTCTATAGAATACCTATAAAGAATCTACGTATATTAAGGCTCGTATTATAATCTATAGTATACCTAGTAAGCGTACGATCTGGATGCTAGAAGAGGACTACTTCTATAACTATCTAGAAGATATTATATACTAGAAGAAACGATAAGGAAAAGCAGTCTTATACTAGAGGGTAGAGTATATCTATACTTTTTAGAAGCTCCTAGCCTACTATAGTAAGGACTTAGTAAAGTAAGATAACAATCTTTAGAAAGTAGTAGAATACTATCTATAGAATATATAGCTAAGGCTATATATTTGTATATTTGTATATTAGAGGTAGTAAAAGAATTATATACGCAACTATTAAGCATCTAACCTATAATAACTTAGTAAGCAAGCTTTATACCCTTTACCTTTAGAACAATTTTAGTATAGGATTAGATCTCTAGATCCTAAGATTACTTTATATTAATTTCTTCGAAAGAAGGGTTTTGGAATTAGATTCTTTAGTATAGTATAACTTCTCTAATGTATTCTACTAAGTAGAGGGCAGTCCTTTACGCCTAAATTTCTAGTAGTAACTAGGGCTTCAAAACTAAGGACAAAAGTCTATTATCAATATTAACGATTGATTAAACTATTAGGTTAGGGAATAGAATCTAGGACGAGGCTCTAGAACCTTATAGATATAATTATATAATACTTCCTAGAGCCTCTAGAAACTACTAGAGTTAATTATATCTCTCTAGAACAAGGTCCGTAAGTCTATAGAAGGTAGTAGTATATATAATTTCTAATTAAGATTGTAACAGATTCTATATAATCGATTCTATACTAAGCTGTATTATTACTAGCTTAAGTATACTATTACGAGCGCCTTCTAGTTATTAAGTCCGGAGTATAAGAGAAGTACTAGTAGCCTCCCTAGATAAAATAAGAAGTCAATAAATCTAGGTCTATAAACCTGGCTCTAGAGCCCTCTTTTTGCTTATTTCTAGGCTATAAGATCTGTATCTAGAGATATAGCGCTTTCTTAGTAGGCCTACTTAGCTAATTTCTATACTACTAATAAACTATATTATATATTCTTTAACTATCGCTTTACGGCGCAAAAGAAACTACTAGAGGCTATAACCTCTTTAAATTTATGATCCGACTTCCTAAGTTAATAGGAATCGTAGAGGAGGCTTCAAATCCGGTGTAATAGAGCTATAAGCTTTCATTTCTGACGAGATTTTATTCTTTTCGGCCGGGCTTGTAATCTCTAGACATCGATAAGATTTAATAGGAATACTAGGAGTAGTAGACGGAGTAGGAATAGAGAGAGAATAAATGCTTAATATTATCTAAAGGGCACTCTGCAGGTCCTTATATCTCCTATATAGTAGGTCTAGCAGGCTCTATACGTATAAGCTTATTATAGTACGCGTAAGTGCTTACGCGTCTATAGAATTGATTAGGAGAGAGTAGAGGAGAGATAATCAATAGTTCGCAATGTACAAGCTTCTATAGCTTTCTAGATCTCTAGCCCTATAGAACATCCTAGAATCTAGTATATTATATGGAGAGGAACTTATAAGCTTGTACGTAGCTAGCTAAGAAAAATGTTTCTAGATTGTCCTAGAAGATATAGAAGCTTTGCTTCTATATATCAAAAGGTGTATATTATTTCACGTCACTTTGTTATATAAGCATCAGGTTATTTGACCTGGTTGCATAAGCATCACATAAGTATATAGGTCGAATAAGCAGGACTGGTTGATACCTGTTACTATTACTACTTAATATTCTAATAACGTATCGTGCGTAAGTATGTACGCCCTGACCTAGGCATCTCTGTCTCTTAATTGTCTAGGTATGTGTGTCTCTATGTCTTAATTACCTGGGCAGAAAGTACTGGGTCATTCTTCTTTACATTCTGCTTCTGTTGTAAATGTCTATAGTAGAGATCTTCAAATTGGCCTAAGGCTATACAGGCTTAGGACTAGGGCGGCTGCGATTTACAAAATGCCTTCTCTACTTATCTATAAATATCCCAGGCCGCCTCCATGGGTGATTCTACCTTGACAGCTGCTTCGGTGCTACTGGGTTCGCACATAGGGATTCATTATTAGATAAGAGTTTAGTGCGAGCAGCACGATTTCGCAGTACCCTAAGCTTTGGGCCTCTCGTACTCTGCCTTGCTTGACAATTTGGGGTTCGGAGCGATGGCCTGGTGATAGAAGCTTGGAAGACCCTACCACACGCATGCACGGCGCGGGTGAATGTTGCGAGCATGCTGCACTCGAGCAACGTCTCTCGTCGGGATGCTATCATGTCCCGACTCGCTGCCGGGTAAAATTCTGCCGCTGTGCAAGGCGAGTGTCTCATGGCTATAAAATACATGCAAAGATGAGTAGGCCCATATCCATTGTGAATGCGGCCTGCTTTGGTAGAGTCTAAGCTCCACTTGCAGCCTTGTCTTTGTCAACCGTCTTGGCTTGGTCAAACTTGACATTGCCCTGGCTGACGTTGGCATAGCTCACGGTCGTGGGTTGCGGCGTTTTCGTGGCGGGAGCAGCTGATGCGGTGCCAGCTTCCGCAGCGGCCTTGGCGTGAATAGCGAGCGGTACCGCAGCCGCTGGGCTGTCCGCGACCTCGTTGATATCTTGCGTGGTCATGACGTCGCTCAACGGAGCTCCACGGGACGAGACGAGAATGGTCGAAGGTCCGCGAAAGTGTAGGAAGAGCTAGGTAATAAACAGTTCAAGTCAGCAACAACTTCAGAATGGAGGATGCAGGGCGAGTTACTCTGTCACCCCATATCGTTCTCCTCGTCCAAGTTCGGAAATGGAAGGAGGCTTGGCTGATGAACTTCCATAATGCGCTCCCTCTCATGGTTCTCCAAAACCTCGTATCGGGTAAGAGAGCCAAGGGCTTTGGGATTTGTAGGCGAAAGTGGTTGGACTTGAACCGATATGGCAGTGGGGCGTGTTGCATGATGGTATATGCAATCACGTGACTCGGATGCACCACGTACTCGTCGCCGGCTTGGAGCGTGATCTGGTGGATCAGTCCCTTGCCCGACAGAGCCAGCAGTCCTCGTCCCGTCACAGCGGTGTTGCCCCAGTGCGCCATGGACATTCTGAGATTGTAGCGGGGCTTCAAGCTCAGAGTGTGTCCCGTCCAGGCCAAGAGAGCGTTCCTCCTCGCGACCATCCAGTCCAGGCGGCCATCCAGATGCACGACGACCAGAGAGGTGAGAGGCGACTTGGTGGCGATCAGGGCGGTGTAGGGGGCGGTAGAAGAGATGGACTGGTAGAGGAAGGGGATGCCCAGCAGGGCTCTCCGAAAGGGCTCGAGCAGGGACAGCGAGGAGACGGCATTCTCAGGCGCGCCGTGGAAGCCGACCAACGTGCCCTTGCGCGTGTAGAGGGTTTGGGAGGCGGAGATGGTGGCGGAGAGGAGGGAGGCGGGCGCGCCGAGCACTTCGAATCGCGCGTCGACACCGCTGCCAGTGCCATCGTCGGGGCGGGAGTGGGCTAGAGGGGTGGTGCTCGACGGCGTGGCGCTGATGTGAACTCGTCGTGTAGTCTTCGTCCGAGTGATGGGTGTGCAGGCTCGGCGACCATGATGCCACAACTCTCGCCGCATCTCTTTCTCTCTCGCGCTCTCTATCGCTCTCTTTCGCTTCTTTCGCTCTCACTCTGTCTCTCTCTCTCTCTCTCTCCAGCTGTCTCCCTCTGTTTCTTGGCGTCGCTGCTGTTTGTCGCGAATCATCAAGCTTCACACCTGCAGGCCATACCTTACCTCCGTACCTTGTTTGCTTACCTCAGCTGTGGCTGGTGAGTGTGGCGCTGACAATATCCTATGTTGATCATCTACCCGTGCTGACTTTCCCTACTGACCTCAGCAATCGCATGCTGCTGTTATTTATCTCAGTAGTACTCAGACTCGCTAGTAGTAGATTGAGGCAATTAGCCTAACGGGCCGCGTTCTACCGTCTCCCTTTATCTTCCTAGTACTTCCGCACTAATCAAACGCCTCCTTACTCAATCTACCTAGCGAGTCTAAGTGCTTTTAGTAATAGGTTCGGTATAGCTACTTCAGCCTTATATAGAGTAACTACTACCTCCTCTCGACCTATATATTACTATACTACTATCGAGCAATCGTATCTTCTATAGCTGCCTTATATAGCGTAGATTCGGCGCTATTATCTAACCTCGCTATTACCTTTACCGACCCCCCCTATCTATATCGATAGTATAGCGCGTAGCGACACTTCCTCTAGCGACCTAAGCGAGTTAACTAATATTAGCGAGGACAGCGATATCGACTAGCTTGTAGAGGAGTTACTCTAGCGTAGTATACTATTAGCGCTATTACCTATATATTCGGCTATACTATATACATAATAGCGGAGGCGCGTTACTAGGAGAATCTATCGGCGGCGACGAATATCGATAACTTAGAAGCTATAAGGAGTTATCGACTACCTACAGTCTATCCGGTAGTCTCTCCGCAAATTGATTAAAGAGTAGGTTAGTACTCGGAAGAATATAGAGGCAAGGCTAGTATCGAAGAACTATACTACCGTTACCCTTCGCCGTACTGTACTAAGGGCTATACTCGAGGACTTAGAAATCCGTATAGCTATCGACGATAGTAAAGAGATAGGCATTAATATTACGGCTATATTCCGGGAGTTAGATACCCTCCCTAAGAAGAGCGAGTCGCTATTTAGCAAATAGACAGGAAGTTATACTATCCTTAACAACCTAGACTTTAACGCCGCCTTTGAAATAATACGTTCTATAGCCCCGTCGTAGTATACGATAATAACTACCCTCCTACGGAATAGGCGCTCCTACTAGTTAAGTAGGTATACCTCTAGTTCGGTCGAGAAGTCTCTTACTAGGCGGTTATACTTTATTACTACCTTTGTCCTTTACTCTCGGATGTCTAATACCTCTAGCATGCTTCTAAGTCTCTTATTATTATACCTATAAGGTACCGGCACTAAGCGGTATATAGTTAAGACATTGTTCGGACTTAGTATATACTAGAGCTATTATACTAGCGTTCGTTTACTTAAGATAGTAGTAGATAAGAGCAAGGTATATATATACTAACTCTAACCTGTCTAAATTGTCTGTATAATACTAACTGCTTAACTATAGGTACGTAGCCTTCTACTAGCTTAGGCTACTATTAACTTCCTCCGTCTTCCTAGTCTACTAGCGTAGTATCGCCGTCTTTTTTCCCCTTATAGGGTATTGTTAGCTTCCTCTTAGATCCTTTATCTTCTTTGTACTTAGATAGTATAATAAACGCCTACGTCGCTATCTTCCTTCGTCTTCCTCGGGGTCTACCTATACTATATTGTTACTAACGGCCTGTTTATATAGGGTACCCTCGTCGAAATAGGCAAGAATCGCTAGTCTGTTATCGTATATAATAATATAAACTTCAAGGATACTACCCGCTACGAGACACTCGGTTATAAAGGAATATAGGCTGCTGTTACTACCGCAACGATCGTAATCTGCCCGGATATCCTTCCTACCGGTTTGAAGTAGAGTATATATCGCTATTCGATCCCTCTTAAAATAGAGGATATCTTTAACTCGCCTAGTATTAGTAGCGATACTATCGGGTAGCAGATAATAAGGGCGATTATTATTAACGCTGTCCTTAAGATCTACCGGGCTCTAATCGCCGAGATATATACTACCGCTAGAATAGATCTACCGGAGATACCTATTATAGATCGATTATCTCCTACAAAGACGTAGTACTAGCAATTCGGCGCAATTTTTAAAGATAAGGGTACAATAGAAGGGATATATCGAGTCTACGATAGTATCTTCCTTAACTAGTTAAAGTATACTACCTAGGATCCTAGCTCTACTAAACCCGATAACTTCTCGTTCTATCTACGGCTAGTCTATAGAGATTAGTTAACAGTAGAGCGTATCCGGGGTTCTATCTTTAGACAATAGTATACTAAGAGGATATATAATAGGAGGTAGTAGCTTCTTAGAGTACTAGCGTGGTTTTATATCTAAATAAACCTCTTATATACTCTTGTAAAGACTTATTTTGAGCTACCTATATCCTCTAAGTATACCTACTACAGTTTAAAGGCAGATATTAAAGCTTAGGATCGTACTAGATATAATCGAGACAATATCTAGTATTACTTAATAGAGCCTCTCGTTCGATAGGGATTTACTTCTAGGGTACTACTACTCTTCTATACCGCTCTCTCTCGCCGAGGAATTAGTATCGCCTCGGATATACTATATAGCAGGCTTACCGCCGAGGATAATAGTAATACTATTAATACTATCCTCCGTCGGAAACTTATACCGTCGCTTTTCGAGGCTATTATTAAGGACATCCGCCTAGCTGCCTTTACTATATTATTATAGGACGGTTAAGGACATTAGGATATCGAATACCGTATAATGTATCGTTTCTTATAGGAGGCCGAACTTCTGCTTACTATCCGCTTCGCTATTAAATATAGCGATATTAGTATTCTCCGGCGTATAGTTAATCTATTAATACCGTTGTTCTTTAGAGCCTCCTAGTATAACTATAGTCGGGAGATACTCTACTATCGCTAGTTACTATCGCCTGTTTGTAAGCCTCCTCTATAGCGCGCTATCCTAGCGTCGGGGTTAGTAAACTAGTAGGGTAAGAGCAATACATTCAAACCAATCGATCTCGTATAGAAGTATCTGAACGGTATATATAAAATCGAGTATAAGGCCTATAAGAACTCGACATACGATATAAATATTGTTTTCGATCGGATCTGTCTATTAAGTACCTAGTAGTACTAGCTTCGTTATAAACTCGAGCGTATATTCGGATACCCTATACCTAGCGAGTATACCGTACGAGACGCGACGCTAGATATATTTTCCCGTACTAGGGCTCTATTTAACGAAGACCTTAGGGCTCCTAGAGAGATATAGGACCTCGATAGAGACTACTTTGATTCTTTCGATGTCTATAGCTACGGTACGAAGGTCGTTGCGGAACGGGTCGCGGAATTCAACTAGCGTTAAGTATACGGGAAGATTAGCAGTCTCCTATATAAACTAGATATAGGATAGGCACCTATTAATACTACGGAATATATAAATATCGAGGATATCTAGGATAACGTTAAGGAGCTCGATCTGACTTCGGTAGGGAGATAAAGAAAGACTAAGGAAGATAATAGGATCAATAGCCGGGGGGGATTTATATATATATATTATACGTTGGCCCTATAGCTACTAGGTTACCTAGAGATCATTTTCATCGTACGAATTACGCGAACAAGATAGGAAAATAATATCGACGGATTTCCTCTATCTTCTTGCCCTACGACTATCGTTGTCTGATTTGTCGGCCTAATTACCCTAGGAACGTTATATATATATAAACATTATATATTGGCCCTATAGCTACTAGGTCACCTAGAGATCATTTTTATCGTACGAATTACGCAAACAAGATAGGAAAATAATATCGACGGATTTCCTCTATCTTCCTATCGATCGGTTCACTTTACTGCCTAGCCTATAAATTCACTTCAGGTACGACGTAGTTACTTTACTTGTACGTTACAATAGTTACTACCTACCTTATTCACTATAGCTCCTCCTCTCTACTACTACCTTACTACTAACACTACTAACGCGATACTATACTACTAACGCGACACTATACTACCAACGCTATACTATACTACTAACGCTATACCTTACTACTAAGGCGACACTATACTACACCTTACTACTAGGCTATACCTTACTACCAAAGCTATACCTTACTACTAAGGCTATACCTTACTACTAAGGCTATACCTTACTACTAAGGCTATACCTTACTACTAAGGCTATACCTTACTACTAGCGCTATACTACACTATACTATACTACCTATACCTATATTGTACTATAGCCGCTGCCCTTGTTTAAATAGTTCGCGCAGCAATCGTACTAGTCTAATATAACGACGACTGTCTAGTATAGTTAGTAACTATCCAACCTTTGAAGAATTATATAGACAATCTACTAGATACGCCTGTCTATATAGTAATTAATAGTGTCCTCTATTTTAAGGATACTAGGGATCGCTAACGATATACCCGAAGCTAGGGCGATATACCTAGTATATTAGTGTAGACGGTTATAAGGCCTCTACTATAGTATCGGTCGGCTAATATACTACGGCTCTTCCTCTGTACTAGCTAGTATCAGACAACTAGTATAGCTAATACTACTAATCAATAGTATTGTATCGTAGTTATAAAGCTTAATAAATATTAGTATATCTATACTACTAGTAGGGTACGGGAGGATAAGGTCTTAAGGGGTACTACGCGGATTAGCGGGCTCTAAGGAATAGTAGTCGTTTAGTATTTTCTAAGAACCTTTGTCGTATTAAGGGCTATAGTATATATTAGAGATAGCTAGGTTAGGTATTGTATTAGGGAATCACTAGAGGTAATTCTTAGGATTTTTGAGGCGGCGGTAATCCGTAGGCTCGAAGGGGATAAAATAGTAAGGTATATAATAAATAGAAGGAGGGCAGTTGTTGTGTCTAAGTAGAGAGATATAATAGTAGATTAATTACTACGTTGTTTAATTGGTTCGGAAGTACTAGGTAGATAAAGGGAGACGCTAGTACGCGGCCCGCTATATTTATTTCCTAGTTCTATCTCAACTTACTACTATAAGGAGATATAGC